CGAGTGCGGCTGAATGGAAAGTGAGTTGACAGGAGTTTGCGCAACAATACGAGGAGATATTGCCCAAATTACTTCGTGAGTTCAACGATGACTGCGTTAATCCTAATCCACAAGAAAAGAAGGTTAGTATATATATAAAATGTAGATTGCATTGCCGCGTTTAAGTTCATAAGTTCAGGTTTCCTGCAGAGGTGGAGGTGAGGGACGATGTGGAGCTGTCGCGTAAAGTTTCCAACATTATCTGGAGTGAGATCCCCTGTAGTCTTGGCCTGGGAGACCCAGTGATTGTCACAGGTTTACCTCAGTACATCTGGGTTTCACACTGAGGGCCAAGCATTCCAGGTGAAGGAGTGCACTGGGCACTACATCACTCAAGAGCCCATTGACGAGGTGATGATGACTGTCATTAAGCCTGATGCTGTTATAAACCTAGAGCCTTTGCTAGAGGTTGTGACCGTTAGGAAGGAATTACATGTACTTAAAGATGAGATGTACCTTTAAAGTCTGGAATGTTACGAGCATTCATATGGTTATAACAAGGTGGTCATGGTATCATGTGTGCAGTGTGCACTTGCTGTAAGTAAAGAAGTTTTTGTTAAGGAAGTAGAGGAGGTTGATAACACCTGGCTAAGGGAAATAGATAGGAGTCTCGTCAAAATACCTTAAGATGGGCACTGCATGGCTCATGTATGTGTAACAGCACTTAGTGCCGTCCATGATGTGCACTACACAGGAGGTTACATGAATCTGATAGATGATGCCATCAATGAGCTGACAGAATATCATACCTTTTACAAATTGGCAGGACATTTCAAGGAAGATCTAGAAGCATATAGAATGCATGGTGACTTTTCCTCACCAACAGTGGATTGTCTCTTTCATGCTATAGCAAATGTCACTGGTATTACCATTCATATTCTTCAACATAAACAGAAAACCCTAGTAGTACCCCCAACAAAAGGCAAATGTAATGATAGAACCATTGAATTATTATACAACAGAGCACATCATCACTATAATGTAGTCACAAGCAGAACTGTTCGGGAAAGGTGGAGCACCTTCCAGCATACTTTGAAGGAAGCAGAAACTGCTTTTAAGTCAATGGAGCGGTTGAGGTGTCATTGTTTCTGCTAAATAAGGCACTAGAATAGTACCCAAATGGCATTATGCATTTTTGTTAAAGACATGGTCAAACACTGTGAGGAACAAATCAGCTGCCACAAAGTAAAAGATAAAAACCCCACAGTAGAAATTCAGACCCTGTTAGAAGAAACAATCAGTGCAATGGAATTGTATCAGAACAGATGCGTCTGACGTTGGCATTGGGGGTGTGCTTAGCCAAGTTCAGGACGGTCTTGAGAGGGTAATTTCATATTACAGCCGGTCTCTGTCTCCTGGTCTCCTGCTGAGCAACGCTACTGCGTCCATCGGCGTGAAATGTTGGCGGCGGTTGAATTCATCACGAAACATGAATGTTACTTGCAAGGCCCTGAGTTCCTGTTGCGTACGGATCACAGCGCGCTTCAGTTCTTGATGAAGATGAAAAATCCATCAAGTCAGTATGCGCGCTGGTTATTACGTTTGGCTACGTACAATTTCAAAATTGAGTACAGACCAGGAGCCCGCCATGGCAACGCTGATAGTTTGAGCAGAAGGCCCTGTGAATAGTGCGGCAAACCCGACACGGCCAGAGAGCCTCCTAGGGTTTTGGTAGTCCGGCAGGCTGATCCAGAGGGACTTAGCCCGATCCCTGCCTTGTCTCTGGACGAGATTCGCAAATCTCAGCGTGCTGACCCGACTTTGGCTAGCCTCGTTTGGACATGCAGAGAGGCACTAAACCCGATCGTCTAGGCCTTCAACGGCTTACTCGGGAACAGCGCACGCTCTATTCCGATTGGCCATGTCTGGAATTCAGGGACGGCGTCCTCTACAGAAACTGGACTAGGAGTGAGGGCCTGGGACAACAGTTGCAACTACTGCTCCCAAGGGCGCTCGTCCCTCGCGTGTTGAAGATGGTCCATGACGAACCGCTGGGCGGTCATCTAGGCGTAGACAAGACCCTCAATAAACTTAGGTCTGCCTTCTACTGGCCCGGCATGCGTCATGACGTGACTGCCCACGTGTCAGGTTGTGAAACTTGCATTCGGACCAAGAGTGGAAGGCGACAGCCACGAGCTCCCCTACAACCAAGCGTAGTCGGGTTTCCAAATGACCGGGTCGCCATGGACATCGTGGGCCCCCTTCCCAAGTCAAGTGCTGGGAATAAGTACATTTTGGACGCGAACGACTATTTCACGAAGTGGGTTAAGATTTTCCCAATGGAGGATGAGACGGTAGAGTCTGTAGCAAAGTGTTTCTACAAAGGTTGGATTTGTGTCCACGGTCCTCCGCAGTCTCTGCACACAGACCAGGGCAGAAACTTTGATTCTGTTCTGGTGAGGGACCTTTGTCGGCTGATGAAAATCCATAAAACACGGTAGTAGAGTTAACATACGGATTAATAAACACGGCTCAGTAGAAGTAATCGAACTGTTTGGATCTCGTTTATAGTAAGATATATATAGACGCTGAGATACCAAACTACCACCAAATCCTTAAACGTTACATTTGTAGAGGCATGGGCTAACAACACTCTGCCGGCCCGTTCGACTGTCCATTAATAAATTAAATAAGGCTCTGGAGGTTATTATGAATAGAGCTCTGGAGCACAAGCATATATCAACATGCATATGGAAATATTTTTTTAAATTGCAGAGGACATGATGATGAACCATTTTTCGCATTAAAATATGTACTGTGAAACTCACTTAAAGGTATGATTGCACCCAGTGTGCCTCATGTACATGTAAAGACTTCGGACCTGTTGAAGTATCAGTATGAACTATGACAATCTACTGAAATCAGCAAAAACTCTGAAAATGTTTTTTGTTTTTGTTTTTTTCATCCAAGACAACATCATCGGTCATAATCCTGGCGGGATATGAGGAAGATATTGAAGCAAACATATTTGCCCACAATGGCGGCTTCAGGAGTAGGTTTCCTGACACCATCCACTTCCATCCATTATCAGAGGAGGTAAGAGAAACTGTGATGTTGCTGCAGTATAAACAGATGTATTTGGTTTAAAATATAACTTCATTGACACATTGTCTCAAAAGAAGGTCTTTACCTACGAAGACAAAATTAGACTTGGACTCCTACTCACTTTCCTCACATTGTACTGCAGAATAACTCACCGCTTTGTGTTCCAGACAAAGTTTGCAGTGGCATATACATGTAGCTGTTAATGAACTGGTGTCAGTCCTGGGATTCATTTTGCTCTAGATATGCTGCTTTCAAGACATGAGTTTTTAAGACATACGTTTTGCAATACTGAGTGAGCATTATTTGTCCCGTTTGTCATTTGACATGTTATTTACATTTTATTTAATATGTGTTATATGTTTGTTGCAGCTTGAAAAAGCAACCAAGGACACACTACCCAGCCTGCTCCAGAGTGACAAGGCATTCCCATGCTCTCCATGGCGGGTTGGAGAAAACCGACAGGCAGTACGTCGGTTGTTCTAAGGAGGGCGCTGTGTCTGCAGGAAATAGTAATCTCCAGAAAGGTAACTATTTTTCTTCTATAGCCTTTGGCCTCAGTGGATACATGTTATGAATAGAATTGAAATGCTTAACTTTCAAAAGTTTCAATGGACCTGGACCTGAATGTTTCAAACCTAGCTGTATTCTATGTGTATTTTAGGAAGAATATGAGGTTTGTCAAGAGACGACCACAAACACACTGTAACATCGCACATCAAACAAGACAGCACGGCATACAAAGCTCAACAATGTACGCTTCATTGGGGAGAATGCCATCCGCCTGGAGAAGTAATATCGCCTTGTAGATGCATTGGAAATCCCCACTGAAGACGAGGTAAGTAAAGTGAAACGCCATGTTTTAGGTAAGCTGGCCCAACTCCTGCGGGATGCAGGAGCCCTGTTCAACAAGCACGAGACTAACGAGGCAGACCTGAATGACCTTGAGCAGTGTCTTGACCACTTCTTTAACCTGTTTTTCCTATTCCTGCCCGAGAGCGGAAACCTGACTGTATGGACGGTGTCAAAAGCCAGCCCATACTTTGCCAGGGAGCTCCATGGGGGGTAGGCTACGGGGTAGGCTATGGAGTTGTTTCCATGCAGGAAAAGGAAGCCAACAATGCCAATGTTAAGGACTACCACAAGCTTACGAATCATTCCAAAGTCGAGGGTAAGTCAGCTGAGAATAGAAGTCTATTTTATGATCATTTCTGTCAAAACATTGCCTTGCTAATCATGATGACCAGGTTAATCTGCAGGTAATATATACAATGAGACATTCCCTGCAACAAGACATTGTCATATTTTCATAATGATACCTACTTAATGAATCTGCTGCTTGCTAACTTGCTTATGTCGAACGCGTGATTGCTACCCATGTGTGTCTGTTCTTGATTGTAGGTTGTCGACCTCCAGGCTAGTGTCTTCTTTGAGCGTGCCAATGTTGTTTAAGTCTGCTGCTGGAAACAGAAAAATTGTATTTCAATCATGCCCCAATATGGCAATATTTTCTTATGTTTGTTACATAAGGAACCAGGATGACAATGTTCTTTTCATCCATTTACAGACATTGACCACCAGATGGGCTACAGAGTCCTGCTGCCATATGGCATATGAAGTTCAGGGCAAGCCAAGTTCAGGAGGACGGCAGTTCAACGAAGCTGTTGTTCTGCTACCAGACACACTGGCAACAGAGACTTCTACACATGTATGGCCAACAAATGCGTCTGCTTGATGCGACCTATCGGACATGCCGGTATTCAGTCCCTCTTCTTCCTGTGTGTCCGTACGAATGTCTGCTACGCAGTGGTCGGCTGCTTTATCGTGCAGAAGGAGAAGACAGAAGACATTCAGGAGTCATTGGGCGTCTTCAAGGTGTGGAATCATGACTGGATGCCAAGCCGTGGATAAATCTAACAATGGAAATCAATGCCCTGACGACAGAGTTTCCAGGTAAAGGAACAGTTATATGAGTTATATTCTGCTGTTGTCTTGCACCTTTTTCGTGTATACTGGTATTAAGACTCAAGGCCTGGTAACTTTCCAGAAACATTAATTAAAGCAACATAGTGACTTGACAATATGTCATCACATACTCATTTAATGAAAACTTCCCTTATAATACAAATACTTATTTTATCTTTGTGCATCTGTTCACAGCTATGGAGCTCCTAGAATGGATAAACAACAGTAAGGTGGAGCCAAGGGAAGAGCTGGATGTGGTGGAAAGCCTGGTTGGCAAGAAGAGAATGAAGGGCCAAATACACTACCAGGTTAAGTGGCAGCGCTACCCACCAGAGTTTAACACATGGAAACCGTACAAAAATCTGGTGAAGTGACTGGGCAAGTCAACCATACAGGAGCCTGCAAAGAACCACACAGACCAAGTGGTTGGAGCGGAGGCTGGCATGCTAACCAGATACAATGGCGGGTACAGCTGGGGAGACTAGGCCAGCAGGAGCAGGATTCTGGGTGCAGGGATGCTGTGCCCACTGCAACCCTAAAAAAATAATAAATCTGAGGGTAGAAAAGGGTTAATGCAGCAGGAATCACACCCTCCCCTAGACCTTTGTGACAATCAGAAGGCTACAATCAAAAGGTCCTGGCGCCCTACATAAGGTTATGCTCGCGCCACCGACAGTTATGCTCTGGACAGAAGAAACAATCAAGAAACGGACCTGAGATGACACCGCATACCTGAATGCAACTGGTAGTGTTCTAATACTTCACTTCTAAGAAGTATGAGGCAGTTCGCAACGATATTGTTTGGATAAAAGGAAGATACACATTTCAAATAAAGATAGATTTGTCACTTTCGTTTCAGGAATTCCTATTATACTCAATGGCTGTGGATGACACTTCATTAATTTACTGATGCCGTGGTTATAATTATGTAATTGATGTTTTACACCACAGGCTGGACAGCCTCCAGTACCGCTGGGAGGGCCAGTACACGGGGTAGTTACCTACCCCCACATTCTGGACCAGGAGTATAATAAGGCCAACATCCCCGAACAGTTCTTCAAACAACTTTACTTCTCCGATGAAGAACTGTTCAGGGGAAACTATACTGGAGGTGGTGCCCATGAAGCACAGAACCCCGCCATCCTCGGTGCCATTCTGGGTAAGGATATCTTGCACATGATTTCATTTGTAATAGAACATTTGTTCTGTGTGTAACCTTTTTATATATTTTCCTGAATGTCACTACATTACAGGAAAATAATTAGCTTCTCAAATACCATGGAAGTACACAATAGTAGCTGCAAATAATTTCTTCATCTGGCTTAAAAACTTAATTGCCATTGAGTTCTGGAAAGTCTACACAATGATTTCTACGGGATCTTGTCGGGTGAAATTGCAGGGAAAGCAAAATGTATTTCTGCTAGGTATTTGACACCTACATACACTTAAAGCTTTACATATGTATACAAAACATTTCATCCATCATCTCAGAAATTAACTTAAATACTGCAAAATCAGTGTAGTAATTTGATGGTTTTAAATGTATATAGTTATGCTGAAATCAAGACATATATCATTTCTGTTTACAGCGGAGACTAACAGGCAGTACAAAGATGAAAAGATCAAGCTGTACAAAGTGGTCACTGAGAAATGCTGCAGGGTGAGGGCAACCCACAAGGCACGCAAGAACAAGCCAGTTGCCCTCCCGGATGCCAACCGACAACAAAGACAGCAGGACCTTATGATCAGCACAGTGGTTGGGGATGCCCTGTTGTCCCTGTGAGATACTAGAGCTGTGTTACCATATATATGTATTTGTTATTTCTTCACAGACAAACCTCCAGATGCAACTTCATATCGTTCAGGCGGACGACCAAACCGCACGTAGTGTACAAAGAGCGGGAACTGAATGCAAAGCTGGAGGAGGGAAAATCTGATCCGCCTTGGACAGGTCTTCCTCCTCGATGAAGAACAGGCGGGACTCAGTGATATTGACCAACGTCCAGGCACCGTACTGCAGGGAGGGCCACGGACAGCCCAGGTTTATGTCCTCCCCATGTGGTTCACGCATCAGCTGATCGCAAAATCACATATTTACATGTAACTCAAGAATGAAGAAAATTTGAGCAAAGATCAGCATTGATGGACCGCACATCGATGACAGAGAAAAGTAACTCCCCTGCTTTTCATGGCTGACCGTAGCATGACTCTTATTGTTACCTTGACGGTTTCTTCCGAGTCACTAAAACGTTACCTAGACCGTTGCTTCAGGATTGTGACAGGGAAGGTAAGGAGTGGCGAACTTGACATGACCATTCTTCATAGCTGTGCGTCACACATAATAACGCCAAAGGCAACGTGAGGAAACAGCGAGTAGTTTTCTTTTTATACAGCTTTTGCGTAGGATTATTACCAATCACAAATGACTGTAACATCCAGCTAACTCGACTAAGCTGAACCAGCCCCCACTGAGCCAGAGGCACAGTCCCCGAAGTCTGGGTTTCCAAGAGGCTGGACAGCTGTAAGAATAGACCTAACCCTATCGAAAATAACGAGTTAGCTGGATGTACGCACTGTAACAGGCCAATCAACTTAAGTAATGAATCGGTACTGCTCTGTCCCCATTGTTCACATACGACTCGATAATCTGTTGCAAACTGTGCTTTGTTACAAATTGCTGGTTATATTTTTCAACTCATAACGACCACAAAATATCTTTCTGCACGGCTGTTGGTGTTCTTGTTGGGATGGTCCTCGCCATCCAGGATATTTGATGTTCATCTCAGGAGTTACTGTAGAAGAAACAGGAAAATAAGGAATAAAGCTTAGAACACAGTACTACTGAATGTTGGTGCCGTCCAGAAACACGGCAGAAATTGGTCAGTCAGGTTCTCAATGGGTTAACGGTAGGGGCGCATAATTCTCACCTTGAATTCTCACCTTGAAGATCAGCCAGTAGGTACCATCTAGGGTAATGAGGCTGGCCTAGCTTTGGCGGTAGTGGCAGTCAGTAGCTAAAGTTGTACTGGAACTGGTCCGGATGATCCTTCCACTCGATCGCCAGTCTTGCTTTAAACTGGTTCACAGTACTTCTGGATACTGTACTCTCTGACAGTCTATTCCAGGCTGGAATCGCTCGTGTGTAGAAGAAGTTTGACCTCTGCCCTTTTGCCAGTTGGACCTGGTACTTGTATTGGTGACCCCTGGTATTTGTGGCACTGCTGCGTGTGAGTGACATCCTGTTGCACAACTTGCACTGGTTTGTACGCACCATGTCTATCCCATGTGTGATTTTGAACAGCTGTATCACATCTGTTCTCTGCCTTCTGTAGTACAGCGTTGGTAGGCCCAGGACTGCTAGCCTTTCCGAATATGAGAGGTGGGCTATACTTGACACTAGCTTTGTCGCTCTTCGCTGCACCCTTTCTAACAGGTCTCTGTCCCTCTTGGTTCTGGGTGACCATACAGCTGTAGCGTACTCCAAGTGTGGGCGGACTAGGCTCTTGTATAGCAACATGAAAGAGTCCTCATCCAGGTACTTAAAGGTGTGTTTGATAGTCCCCAGTACTCTGTTGGCCTTGTTGACCTGGGTTTGTACATGGCTGCTGAAACTCAGCTTACTGTCGATTAGTACACCCAGGTCCTTTTCTTCCTCGATGCACTCTATCCTGTGCAGTGTGCCATCTGCTTTTGACATGGTGTATTCATGACGAGGATTGTTTTTCCCAAGGTGTAGGACCTTGCATTTATCCGGGTGAAATCTCATCTGCATCCGCTCTGACCATTCTTGGAGTTTTCCTAGGTCGGCTTGCAGACACTCACTGTGGGAGTTCTCTTCACATTCTTGCGCCGCTGCATATACTTTAGTGTCGTCCGCAAAAAGTGATACAAAGTTTTTTAGCTCTGCGGGGATATCGCTGACAAAGATCATGAATAATAGCGGGCCCAAGACCGACCCTTGCGGAACTCCGCTGGCTACATGCTTAGGGCTGGATGCTTTGCCATTCACCACGACTTGTTGCGTGCGGCGTGTGAGAAATGTTCTTATCCATTTCAAGAGTTTCCCCACAATCCCATGTGACTCAAGTTTCCTTAGCAATCTCTCGTGTGGTACTGTATCAAACGCTTTCGCGTAATCAAGGAATATGACGTCAACAGGTACTTGGTGGCTCAGAGTTTCAGTCCACACATCTAGGGCCTCTAGCAGGTTAGTCACCGTTGACTTGCCTTGGGTAAAGCCGTGCTGTTGTACACAGCTGAGGTCATTTTTCTTGATGTGATCTATTATTGCGTCAGAAATGAGTCTCTCCATCATCTTGCACGGTACCGATGTGAGTGACACTGGTCTGTAGTTAGCTGGGTCCGATTTATCTCCCTTCTTGTAAATCGGGGTGATGCTGGCTTCTGTCCATTGGTCAGGAAGTTCAGCATTGTTAATGCTTAGTTGAAATATTGAGGTCAGTGGTCTAACAATCACATGTGCAAGTTCTCTCAGTATCCTGGGATGCATCCCATCGTTCCCTGGGGATTTATCCGTCCTTAGTGACTTGAGTTGTTTGTACACCAGGTCCTCAGTCACTTCTATGGTTTCCAGTTTTGAGCCTTGGTGGCACTGGAATACTGGAATATTATCCCGGTTCTCATGTGTGAATGTTTTGTAATACTGTTCATTCAGCACCTCTGCTTTTTGTTTGTCTGTTGTTGCAATATTCCCATGTGCATCCCTAAGTTGTCCTACTTGTGATTTGGTTGTTCTTCTGCTGTTCACGTAACTCCAGAATGCTTTGTTGTTGGTTTTGGCCTCTTTAGCAAGCATTTTCTCAAAGCTTCTGCGTGCATACTTGGTTGCATGAGTGGCCGCGTTTCGCGCTTTCTTGTACGCTTCCCAATCACGCGTGCTCTTGGTGTTGAGATATTTTGTCCATGCATGGTGCTTTTTTTTGGTCTTCCGATAGGAGTTTCTGTTCATCCATTTCGGCTTTAGTCTTGTTTTTCCACAGTCAAGTGTTTTTTTGGAACATGTTTCTTTACTGCTTTAGTGATGTTAGACTGTAGCTCGTTAAAGGCCTCCTGTGTCGACTTGCCTAATAACAGCTGGTCCCAGTCTAAGTCTAGGTCTTCTCCCATCATTTCGTAGTTGGCTTTGTCGTATTTCAACAATGTTTTTTCCTGGTTGGTGTTGTTTACATTAAAGTCAAACTTGAGCTCTAGTATTACGTGGTCACTTGCCCCCAGGGGCGTCACATGTGTAATCTGCTGTACCATCTCTTCCTCATTGGTAAGTATAAGGTCATCAAGAGTGGGCGTTTGGTTACTCCTGTACCTAGTAGGTTGCGTCACATGTTGATACAAAAATACATCTCTGATACACTCGATAAACTTTGTCGCTGGGTTGTCAGTATGTTCAGCATGTGTGTTCCGGATGTGAGGCAATGGGTCCCATCTAATGCTTGGGTGGTTGAAATCTCCAGTTATAAGCACGTGTGATATATTCATACTAGTTGCCCACTTTAGGGTTTCATGTAGTTCTGAGTCTCGTGTAATTGCCAAGGATGGCGACCCAGATCTATAAATAGTGCCGACTAGGATCGACGTGTTGCCTCCACCTTGTATAGTTGCCCATGTACAGTCTTGGTATCCCGTTGTGGGAGTTACTTGTTTGGCTTTGAGGTTAGACTTGATGTAGATGCATGTTCCTCTAGTGTCTGGTGCACTCAGATCACTTGTAAACAAGTCGTAGTTCTGGATTTGCATAATCTGTTTGTCTGGTAACGCTCCCTGTTTTGGTTTTATTTCCGTCAAGCAAATAGTGTCGTAGTCTTTTCCATTCAGTAGTGCACAGAGTTCATCATACTTGCTCATTATGGAGTTGTCTACATTCGTGTACATAATACTGAGATCTTGGTTCACATCTCTTGCTACTTTAGTTCTACTACTTCTCCTCTTCTGATCATCCACTTTTGTTGTGGAAACCGTTCTCTCTGGGTCTTCAGGTGCTCTCTTAGGTTTTTTGATTCCTCAAGCTGTTTTTTGGTCAAGTCTGGTCGTATGTATACTTGGTTATATGTCTCATGTGAACTTTCTCTTAGATCCTTTGCCAGTGCCAATACTTGTTTTTTCTCTCCCAGGTTAGCCAGTGTTACCTTAAGTAGTCTTGCTTTCCCATTGTTGGGTCTGCCTAATCTCTGGGCATTGGTGATGTTTACTTTCAGTTTGAACTCATCTTTAACTAGTTCAGTGAAGCTGTCAGTGTCTCCTTGTTTGGATTCGGTTTCTGGAAGGTTGTGCACAATGAGGTTTAACTTTCGAGCTTCTTGGTCCTCTCTTTCATCTAGTTTACGGTCGACTTTATCTGACATCGTTTTCGTTACTTGTTCTGTAGTCTTGACAACAATCCTTTCCACAATCTGGTCCTCTGTTAACTTTCCTAGCTCTGTTGAAGTCTCAAATGTGGACTGCTGAGTATTCTCTAGTTGTTGGATTCTAGCTTCGAGTACGCTGTCTGTGTCCTTGAGGTTGTTCACTTCCTCTCTAGTTCTAGTTAAATTGACAAGAACAAGGTCCAACGTTGGAACAGGGAGATTCTGAACGTCACGGTAGCAGTTAGGAAAGGGCGGAATTTAACACACGAGGACATTTTCGAGCTGGAAAGGGGAATTTACTCGAGACGAGAAGGAAACCACGTGTAACGACAACGGACGCCACGCTCCGTAAACAAGTTGGATTTGTTTGGTGGAGACAGGAGCAGCTCAGCCATGTCACTTTTTGACAATGTATTCTACACTGCAACAATTTGTTGGCTTGAATATACCTTTAGACGATAACTAAGAATAGGTTCTCCGTCACTTTGAGAACACAGTTCTCGCCAACATGTAAACAAGATACTCCATCACAGATGTTAGCCTCTGCCAGCCTTTCACAAAATTCTTGGCAAGTTTTGGCATGAACAGTTGAAGTCAGGCTTATTGTCGCGTCAGTATAGTACAGTTAGTTTTCTACAACAGATTTTCGTGACAAACGCTTTGGATAAGACGATTATTGGTGAGGAGACACATTCCACAAACTGCCGTACACAACACGGCGTGGCTCAACTAAACGGCAGAATTAACCGACTTCCTTCCACTAAAACCTGTCGATATCTATATACGAGTAATTGTGATATCTTACAGATTCATTCCCCGTTAGTTGACAATCATAAAAGCGAGAATTTCGCCCTAAAGACGACCTGAAAATGCGACACTCACCTCACACTACCGCCCTTCCTCTCCAACTGAAGCTGGGTGGTACGGTTTTCGACGGGAAATTCTGCCTGTATTCATCCGCCAGGGGATTAAGCTGTATAACGAAGCGGCAAGAGCTGCTAGATAATGTAAAACAAACGATTATAATTTTGTTTTATAAGAAAAATGTATAACACAGTCTGAAAATAACGACAATAGCTTGAAAGTGAACCCTAACACTAGATGCTTCGTTCTTGTCACGTACTACTTCCTGGCGGCACTTGTGTACATCCTGTCTGAGTGGATATTCGGTGACGTGGCCCTGCGAGGCTCACTTGGGGTTTGTCTAAGCATGGTCAAAGTACCAGGATGGTCTCGGATATAGAGGTAGGGGCAAGATAAGACGTTTTTTGACGTATTGTTTGTGCTCCTCACGATGGTCAAATCCGGTCCCATTTTTCCTAACACGCTGCTCATAAATATTCAATGTCAATCACTCATTTCGCTGTTGACAACATTAGCTGATTGGTTCGAACTCGCAGGTTTGCCGGCGTGGACAAGAAATGTTTTGATCGCACCTCGCCCATCAAGATTTTCCCGCGAGCTTGCCTTTTCAAATGCGTACCTCGTCTCCGCCTAACATGTAATGTTAGATGTGTTACAGGAACTGAAGGTGGTGAGTCTGCTATTCCAAAAGGGTGGTCTCTCTGCAGGATGTAACAGATGGTGAATTTCATGGAATTTGATTCATAACTGCAAGCGCTACAGCGTTGAGAATTGACTAACCCCCCGCCCGCTCAGCGCGGTCACACAACTGAGCCTGGGCGTCACGAACGTGTATTGTGCCAAGGTTAAAACCTCCTTGATTGTACTTATATTGGCATCGGTGTTGGAAGGATCTTACATCGTCATATTTACGGGCTTCAGCCTCGGTCAAAACAGCATTATTGCTGACAAATTCAGTCTATTTTTAAGTAAGATCGCTTGTTTGTTAAAATTGTCCGAGGCTATTTTGTTTATTTTTGGATTTTTTTTCTCTAGAGCTCATTTTTAACGAAAAATTGAAAAAAAAATCAGCTTTTAGCTATTTTTGACCCAAAAAGTTTAAGATTCCTACTTCTTAACCAAAATAGCTGCGGACAAATTTATTCTATGGGAGGTAAGCTCTTATCTTGTGGAATATAGTGACAAAAGCTGCTGTCTTTGCCAAGGCTGGGGCATTTGAAATAAACTATGTATTTTTTAACCAAAATCTATATTTCTAACCAAAAAATTCTGCATATGACATCAAATTTCAACAGTATCTAGTAACTGTCAAACAGTACTAGCCCTCTGAGAAGTTTCGTCTCGATACGACTACGCTGGGCAAAGTTGTAAGGATGTAGGTTTTAGTATTAGTTACAGTCCGGTCACAGGCCTTAATTCACCTGAGATTGCGATTGGTCTTGTGTAGTATTAATACAGGCAATTAAGTAGTGCAACCATGCAGGTAGTTAAAATGATGTGCTGAACATACAGACCTTGACCTTGCAAGGCGGCTCGGCGTTGTGCAGCACCTGGACCCATGATGGCCTTCTTTCGATCCAGGTCATGAAGTACGCCAAACAAGTCTCGGTTCTCGTACTCCATGACCTATACAGATGTAGATTGAGTAATGTGTATTTCTGCTACATTTCAGAGGGAGGTAATGAAAGAAACGGCAAGGCAGATAGACATCGGCTTACCTGTTGGGTCCAAGTGCTCCCTCTACCACTTCTTTGGCTTCCATGGTGGAACCGTTTGTTCTGGGTGTGGTTCTGGGAATTAAATTGATATGTTACTGTTACAGCAACTGAAACATTTACATACCAGAAACTTTTCAAAAGTCATCAGTCTTTTCACCATGTACAATATAGCAAGCATACTGCATTGTATGTACACATTTTTCAATACTTGCATATGCTCAGTTGTTTCTCCAACTTCTCCAACAAATGTAAGATAAGTATGTAAGATGTATATTGTGCGTACCTGTTCCACGCTCTCACAGGAGAGGTCGTTGAGATACCTGTATTTTGCCAAGAAGTGGGGGAGATGGTACACCATAGTATGTATGTATGGTGTGACATGCTGTAAACAAAGAAGATAAATGGAAGTTAGAAATAGTGACACCTCTTTTGTTACTGTTTAAAGTTTAAACCATTGTATGAATATATGGAGTTACATGCATGCTTGAAATAGATAATAGAAGACAATAAAAGACCATGATAACTCTTTCTAATCAGTTTTCCAACCACTTCATTAGCAGCTGTACTTACCTCATCAAACGTTACTTGACGGAAGAATTTCCCCCACTTCAGGGCCTGCTGCTTAAATACCTCATGGCTGAGGTGGCCATCGCCTCCTGGCTTGGCCTTCATGGCCACTGCCAGCACCTCAAAGTCCTGTGAAAGTTTTCATCGGATTACTGGTGGACAATAAAAACATATACATTTGTTTTTCTTTGGCCCTTGTACATTTGTACTATGTCTGTTTTGATCCTGAATTAGAGTTTCAGAGAGCTAAGCATTGAAATTTCATTCATTCATTCAAATATTCAAAATGGATATGACATACTTTCCACAGTTGGATGATGTTGTCAACCAGAAGAATTGGATTCTCATCCTCTTCCTCAGGATCATTGGGAAGTGGAATCTGTGAAAACATGTTTTTATGAAGTGCATGTACAAAAACAAATATGAACAATTGACAAAACTAGCTGGTGACAAAAATTCGGCATGACTACATTGTACAATATTTTAAATAACATACCTGATCACTTCCAAGGAAGTCTGTCAGCCTTCTCACAAGGGATGGCTTCCTTCCAGTCTCCTCTAATCCGTGTTTGCGAAGCTCGATCTTAAGCTGCGCAACGGACAGGCTGGCGATTGTTAGCCCCCTTGGGGTCCACCTGTCCATGAGCACAGCTTTAAGGTCGAGCTTGGCAAACACCCGCTCAAGTTGTTTTGCTGTAAATGAAGTCAGTATTAGCCCATGTCTCTGTGCTTATTGATACCTTAGCTAGAAGGTCTGAAATTTTTAGAGCATGTAAACCATACTGGGAGGAAACCAATATGGCGGCGTGAAGGAAAGGTGCAGAAAAAGGAGCTCGTGTACAAACTGTCTATGTGCACGCTTTTTTTGACAAATTTTGACTCAAAGACTTGCTGTAACCAAATGTAGGTCTTTATTTAATCACTGGGAACCGTAAATATGTCTTTGTTGGCGAGGAAAACGCGAAGCAGAGCAGAAACTACGAAGAACGCAAGCGACGAGAAGAGAGACGCCTCGCCCCCCCTCCCACTCGAAGAAACACTGGACGGTACCGGTGCACGTGAGTTCGAACGTTTCGTACGTGACGCTTTAAAAGACCTTCTAAAAGGTCAGTGTGACCTGAAAACAAAGTAGAATCGTTCGAAGCCTCTGTTAACAACTCCCTAGAACATATTTTCGAACGAGTTGAAAAAGCTTGAAACGAAAAATGAAACGCTCGAGACGAAAACAAAACAGCAAGAGAGTGTCGTCGAACAGTTGGTGGAAAAAATGCAACACGCTAGAACGGTTTTCGCGACGCAACAACTTCAGGATTGTGGGTGTACCGGTCAGCAGAGGTGAGAACTGTATTTATGTTGTCTACGGAAATCCTTAAGAACGATTTCAACTTGGAGTCTACTACTATTGAGAGAGCGCACAGGGACGGCAAAGGATTTCGCGGTAAGCCCCCCCACATCCTGACCAAAATGCTGTCGTATCGAGACAAGGTGGCTGTTATGATCAAAGCCAAGAATGCACT